AACTAGCCAGCACCTCTGGCTACCTCCAGCAAGACGACGTGGCAGGTTTGAAACACTGAGGATAGGAGATTATGAGGACAAGGCAAGAGGCTCATTGAGTGTGGAGGTTGGTGAAGGAAGGAAAGAAAAAGATCAACACAGAATGTATATAACTCGGACCCGAGTCGAACGGGCGCTCTGTCTTTTTCGCGACAAGGGGTGCAGATGCGCACCAGCGCTACCGAGCCTTGCTGGCCTATTTCCTTGCTTGGATAGATGCTCGACTTGAGACTGGTTCAATGCATCTCTGTTGTGTGATTCGCTTGAGTTCAACGCCAACCGAGACACTCTGAGGTGGCCTTAGCCTTGGAGAAGAATTAGATGGGCAGGAACTCGGAGTTCGGAAACCAAAAAACCTGGCGGGATTCGACACATGGCTCGGACCCAAGTCGAACGGGCACTCTGCTGTAATTCTAGTTTTCCCTGTCCAATGGATACAGATGCGCACCGACGCTACCGAGCCTTTCACCCACCCTTCTTTACTTGAACAGGTGTTGCACTTTGATATGTATAATATTCTCTCCAGATTTTCGTTTTCTTTTGGCATTTATACGGACCTGGACCCAAAGGTTGAGATTCTGAGTCTTAGGATGGAAGGTCACCAAGGACTGGGTGATTTCTTTTTTTTCTCCTGAGGATGGAGGTTTGGTGGAAGAAGGGTGAAAAAAAAATGCTGGATGGCTCGGGCCCGAGTCGAACGGGCACCGTCTGCTGTAGCACTTTGTATTTTAACATACGGAATGCAGATGCGCACCAGCGCTACCAAGCCTTGTTCACCTTCTTGTATCCCCAAATATGGGTTGAACTTTGAGACCGGATGTCCATCCTGTTTTTTTTCCCCCGATTATGAGGCTCGAGAACTCAGAGGTGGAAAGGACCTTGGGTTTGAGTATGAACCTGAGAAAAACAAGACAAGGAAACAAATAGAAAAAAACTCTGCATCCTCTACGCATGGCTTGGGCCCGAGTCGAACGGGCATCGTCCGCTCTAATGATCTCGTCTCCTCCACGGAATGCAGATGCGCACCGGCGCTACCCAGCCTTGCTGGCCTACTTCCTTGCTTGAATAGGTGTTGAACCCTGATATGTATTCTCTCCAGATTTCATTCCTCTTGACATTTGTTGATTTACCTGAACCCATTGGTTGAAGGTTGACGCTCTGAGTCTGAGGATGGGAGATCACCGAAGACTGGGGGATTGGGTTTTTTGGGTGCGGAGGTTGGTGAGGGAAGGAAAGAAAAAGAGGTTGCGATTTCACGGTATGGCTCGGGCCCGAGTCGAACGGGCGGGGTCTGCCGGAACTTCGAATTTTCGACAGATGCACGGCTAAGGAATGCAGATGCGCACCAGCGCTACCGAGCCTTTCACTCTACCTTCCTTACTTGAATAAGCGTTGAATTTCGATAAGCATTTTCTTTTGCTGTTTATACTAACCTGAACCCGAAGGTCAGCGCTCTGAGGATGGGAGATCACCGACGACTGGCCTGGGGCAAAATATTTTGAGGATGGGAGCTTGATGACTCATGAGGGAAGGAAAGAAAAAGGAAGTCAATGGGAATATAGTATGACTTGGTTCCGAGTCGAACGAGCATGGTCTGCTGTACTGTACTTCTTCCTTCATGTGCCCATGGAGTGCGCGCACCAGCGCTACCGAACTAGTGTTGCCGCGACTTAACTCAAAGTCATTTTGAAGTCAAAGTCGCAGCCGACTTGGGCCGAGTCGAGCCGAGTCGACACTGCAACTCGGGTTGACTTACAAGTCGACTCGAGTGACTTGAAGTTGACTTGCTGGTTCAAATTCCAGGAAGGTGTGCTGAGTCGTTTACAGCACAAAAAAACAATATCTTGAATTTTGGTGAACCGTGACCTGAGCGCGTGATACCCTGGTGACACCTGTCACATGTTTGTGATTTTTGTAAAACCGCCGCAGATGAAGCTAGAACCACAAAAATACCTTGCTGTCCAAAATGGTCTGGAGTCGACTTGAGTCGACCCAAGTTGACTTAGACCTACAAGTCGAGTAGAGTAGAGTCGAATCTATTTTTAAGTCGACTTTCAAAGTCGCGACTCAACTTATCGAGTCGCGGCAACACTATACCGAACCTATTTATTGGATCCCAGACGCGCATATGCAGGGGGGAAATGGCATCCCGTAAGTCTCTAAGACGGGAACTATATACCTACGAATAGCTCAAGGGACGCACTGTCGAATATAGGGAGGTTGGCCTGGGGATTTTTGGATGGCATAAAATTGCCTCCTCCGCAAATTGTGAATTAATGAGAGAGTGAATCGTGAACCTCTGTCAATTTGAATAATTCAGGTGGAGGCCCCGCGAAAACCGAAAAACACGATTGAAAAAACAAAAAAAAAACAAAAAAAGACAATATGCTGGATGATGGCTCGACCTGAGTTGAACGGGTGCTCTGCTATAATGCCTGATTCACGGTACATAGAATGCAGATGCGCACCGGCGCTATCAAGCCTTTCACACTCCCTTCTTTACTTGAACAGGTGTTGCACTTTGATATGTATGGTATTCTCTCCAGATTTTCTTGTTCTTTTGGCATTTATACTGACCTGAACAAGAAGGTTGAGGTTCTGAGTCTGAGGATGGGAGCTAGCCTAGGACTAAGTTTTGAGTGGGGATAGAGGTTTGGCGAAAGAAAGAAAATAGGGTTGGGCACGGCGATGGCTCAGGCCCGAGTCGAACGAGCGTCGTCTGCTGCGATGATCATTTTCTCGCGACAAAGGGATGCAGATGCGCACCGGCGCTACCGAGCCTTTCACCCTCCCATTCTTACCTGTATAATGATTGAACTTTGAGACGAGGTGTGCAGGTTTGAAACAGCACTCTGAGGATGGGAGATTATTGAGAACAAGGGCAAGAGGTTCATTCAGTGTGGAGGTTGGTGAAGGAAGGGGAAATAAAAATAAAAACAACGATAGCTCGGGACCGGGTCGAACGGGCAGGGTCTGCTACAATGATTTTTGGACCTCACATATGATGCAGATGCGCATCGGCGCTACCGAGTCTTGCTCTCTTCACCATGTCCTCAAATAATTACCACGACCATTTGGCAGTTCCGTCACATCTATTGTATTAACTTGAAGTTGATCAGATACATAGATGTTGGGGTTGGTGTTGAGCTTGAACAGTCAAATATCCCCCAAAAAGGTATTGCAGCGGCATGCAAATAATGGCTTGGACCCCAGTCGAACGGGTGCTTTGCTGAATTTTTACTCTCTCTAAATATTGAATACAGATGCGCACCAGCGCTGCCGAGCCTTGCTGGCCTACTTCCTTGCTTGAATAGGTATTGAACTAACTTTTATATGTATTCAAATGAAAATCTGTTGGCATTTATACTGACCTGAACATGAAGGTTAATGTTCTGAGTTTGAGAATGGGAGATCACCATTGACAGGGACTGGGGGAAAATATTTTGAGGATGGAAGCTTGATATGGGAAGGAAAGAAAAAAACCACATGATCGCGAAATGGCTCGGGCCCGAGTCGAACGGGCATCGTCCGCTGTAACAATGTCAGCTCCTGTACGGAATGCATATGCCCACCGGCGCTGCCAAGCCTTTCACCTGCCCTTCTTTATTTGAATATATGTTGAATTTTGAGACGACGTGTGCAGGTTTGAAACAGCACTCTGAGGATGGGAGATTACTGAGGACAAGGCCAAGACGCTCATTGATTGCGGAAGTTGGCGAAGGATGGGTAAAAAAGAAGAAAACAGTGATGTATGGCTCGGGCCCGAGTCGAACGGGCGGGGTCTGCCGGAACTTCGAATTTTCGACAGATGCACGGCTAAGGAATGCAGATGCGCACCAGCGCTACCGAGCCTTTCACCCACCCTTCGTGGCTTGAATAGGTGTTGAACTTTATGTATTCTCTCTCCAGATTTAGTTTTTCTGTTGACTTTTGTTGACTTACCTGAGCCCATTGGTTGAAGGTCGATGTTCTGAGTTTGAGGATGGGAGATCACCGAAGACTGGGGGATTGGGTTTTTGGGTGCGGAGGTTGGTGAGGGAAGGAAAGAAAAGACGTTGCGATTTCACGGTATGGCTCGGGCCCGAGTCGAACGGGCGGGGTCTGCCGGAACTTCGGCTAAGGGATGCAGATGCGCACCAGCGCTACCGAGCCTTTCACCCACCCTTCTTTACTTGGATAAGTGTTGACCTTTGATATGCATTCTCTCCAGATTTTCTTTTGCTTTTGGCATTTATACCTACCTGAACCTGAGGGTTGAGGTTTTGAGGTCGAGGATGGGAGATCGAAGACTGGGGGATTGGGTTTTTTGGGTGCGGAGGTTGGTGAGGGAAGGAAAGAAAAAGAGGTTGCGATTTCGCAGCATGGCTCGGGCCCGAGTCGAACGGGCATCGTCCGCTCTAATGATCTCGTGTCCTCCACGGAATGCAGATGCGCACCGGCGCTACCCAGCCTTGCTGGCCTACTTCCTTGCTTGAATAGGTGTTGAACTGATATGTATTCAAATCAAAATCTGTTGGCATTCACACTGACCTAAACTTGAAGGTTGAGGTTCCGAGTTTGAGGATGGGAGATCACCAAGAACTGGGTGAATTCTTTTTTTTTTTTTTTGAGGATGGAGGTTAGTGCGGGAAGGTGAGAAAAAAAACTGAGTGGTTCTGCACCATGGCTCGGGCCCGAGTCGAACGGGCACTCTGCTGTAATTCTAGTTTTCCCTGTCCAATGGATACAGATGCGCACCGGCGCTATCGAGCCTTGCTGGCCTACCTCCTTGCTTGGATAGGCGTTGAACTGATACATATTCAGATCAAAATTTGTTGGCATTCATACTGACCTGAATTTGAAGGTCGACGCTGTGAGCCAGAGAATTGGAGATTGGCACAGAGCGGGGGAATGTTTTTTTTTTTTGAGGATGGAGGTTTGTTGTAGGAGAGGGAAAGAAAAAAATCAAGCCCTAATACCGATGGCCCGGGCCCGAGTCGAACGGGCGCTCTGCTGTACTTCTCATTTTTCCTATATGAATTAAACACAGATGTGCACCGGCGCTACCGAGCCGTTTTTACCCGTTTTCAAACGTGCATATGCAGGGGAAAATGACATCCCGTCAGTCTCCAAGGCGGGAACAATTGTCAATTATAACTGTACGTACTTCAGGGGAGTTTTAATAATTGTGCCGGAAGTAAGTTAGGGGCCCGCATATGACATACGCGCTGTCGAACGGCAAACGTAGTTGTCTTAGAGATTTTTTGCTTTTGTCGTTGTTTTTGTATCTGCGGACCGTCAGCCTGAGCCGTGCAATCAGTAATGTTAGATAAAGTGGAACGTAGCTGCGGTGGTTGTCTTTGAGATTTTTGTTTTTTGGAAAGCATTCGAGCTGGAGACGGACCATTCGGACCGTTCAGAACCTTAACGTTACATTCCGCCGTGCAATCAGTAATCAGTAATGTTAGACCAAAGACGTAAAAATCAATGTCTCTGCAGCTGTAGTACATCATGATGTATATTAAACTGAGATTGGTCTCAGAATATTAGAGTAGCCTGACTTTAGGCTTGTCTGAGATTCAGCGTGAGACAAATATTACTGTCAAGTCTCAGTCTAAGATACATTGACAGAAATACTAGCGCGGCTAGCCAGTAGCTATAAGATGGGTAGTTCAACGGACATATGTAGATAACTGTTGATTTGGTGCGCGCGCGCGGCCCTGGTGCTTGAATACATGTATTTGTGCCAAGATCAAAGCAGCGATGGATCGACCGTCACGCCTCGAGAGTAGGTTAGCACATAATTATGCCAGTGACGGAATAATTGACGGAAGAAAGTTAGGGGTCCAGGCTCAATACATACGCGCTGTCGATGTTGAACGTACATTGCTGGTCGTCTTAGAGATTCTTTTGTCTTTGTCTTGGAATTGGATCCGACGTAGAGACGGACCGTTCGGAACGTTAACGTTACATTCTGCCGTGCAATCAGTCAGTCAGTAATTAGTAACATCAGTCCTACTTACTTGAAGGGGCAGAGGCAGAGCACTGGCAGGCGGAGCGGAGCGGAGGTAAGAATCCAGGTCTAAACCAATTATTTATAAATCATAATGCTTTGCGGCCATGGTCTTAGGTGAATTCGAATATTAGCCTGACCGCAGACTTGTCGTAGTGTGAGATTGAGAGTGAGAGTGAGAGTGAGAGTGAGATTGGCGTGAGACCATGGCCAATACTGTATCACCGCGCTAGTCTCAGTCTCAGATAAATAAATATTCGGGCACCAAGACCGCGCGCGCACCAAATCCACTACGTCCGTTAAGGCCGGGCTGATATTAATATTTTGTGTTCCAAGATGAAAGCAGCGACAGCTGCGGACTGAGGCCTGAGAGTCCGAGATACATATGGATCGACGCCTCGGAGTTGTATACCAGTGATCTGAAACTGATCTTGATAAGTAATTGGTGAGTAGTTGATGAGCAGCGAGCGAATAAATATGAAATGTAGCGAGCACCTCTATCGTTCCATTCGCCCTCTGTTTAGCCTCTGCCATAGCTACAACTTGAAGGACGGAAGCCACACCATCACCGGCAATTAATTTAGCACCATCAGATGGGATCACCCCATACTCCACCCGACACCACGTGAGAAAGATCTGGTTTAGCCGCTATCATCAGCTTTCTGTTTGCCGCAACTGTCAGCCGCTTTTCGCCGTGTAGCTTCTTTCGTCGCACGACACTCAAGGCTTTCGCACACGTCCCACGTCCACGGGAGCGCGAGCAGTTGGGGTTCCTGACTTGACTGCTGGTAACAAACGAGGAAGCAAAGGGAAGATAACAGGAAGACCTTGGAGGAAAGACTAGGAGGAAAGAAGATCACAGGGAAGAGAAGAGAGCGCTCTAATCCCACTTCGACTGGAGACGGAGACGGATACTACGGAGACTATCGCCTTGACTCTGACTTAACTTATTCCACTCCCTCGTCCTCCTCGTAACCCCGCCCTCGCCAGCGCTCCCTCCCTCGTACCTCGTCTCTTGCAAAGAACAAGCCCAATAACCCAATAACAAGAACAGAAGACCAATACCATCGCAGCAATGGGCGGCTGCGTCTCCTCGCCAGCACCACCCGGCGGCGAAGTCTCCGAGCGCGACCGCGCGCTGCACCGCCAGGCCGAGAAGGCACTGAAGGAGGCCAAGGCGAAGATGGCGGTTCAGGTTAAGGTATGTCTCTATTCTCCACGTATATTTGGGTGGACAGACGAGCTGATTGTGGTATGCGCGGTGGGTGTGTAGGTCCTCCTCCTCGGCTCAGGCGACAGCGGGAAGAGCACGATCCTCAAGCAGATGAGGCTCATACACAAGGTGCCGTTTAGTGCGCAGGTACGCAGCGTCTCTTTTCCTCTCCCTCCTTTCCCCATCTCTTTACCACTCGAGTACGCATGCGGATGCTGATGACGCACACGCACACCCGCAGGAAACAGAATCCTTCCGCCAACTCGTCTTCCACAACCTCACGCGCGGGCTCAAGTACCTCCTCGACGCCCTGCCCGACATGGGCCTCGCCCTGCCGGAGGTTTATAGCAATTTGGATGTGGAGGGGTGCGTTTCCTCCGCCTTCCATATCTCGCTTATCCTTCATTACTTTACTTTCTCCCTCCTACTTTCTCCCCCCACCTTCCCCTCTACTCTTATCTCGTTGTGTTTTTATTCGTCTCTTCCCTTTTTTTATTTTTATTTTTCGTGCGAGCCACCGCTAACGATTTTCTTTATTCACAGATACGTGAAGGGATGGGCCCCAGGCGAATGTGGCGGCCGTCGACCACGCAAGCGGGCTAAATCCGTGGGGGAGAAGACACCCGGAGAGCAAGAAGACGAAGGGTGGGGCGAGGAAGGCGTGAGGGGGGAGGGGATTTCGGTGAGTCTTCTACGCTCCTTCGACTCCTTCGACGACGACGGGTCGATGAGCGTTGGCGTTTCCGCGACAGTTCTACGGGGACGGGCGCGGTACGGCGGTGTCCTAGTGGCGTAGGCCCGCATTCGTGACGACGACGATTGGCGGGCAGGAGGGGCGACGAGCTATCGCCGCCAGCGCTTAGTCGCCGCACCTTACCCTGGCTCTAGCTCCAGCTTGATCCAGCCAGGGTGGGTGGCCGTCGCTATCTGCCACTGTCACGGTGGCGTCGCTGTCGCTGTCGCGATGGGGGGTCGGAGCTGGGTGGCGCGGTGGAGACATGGTGGAGACGAGGTGGAGGTAGTGTCGGCGGCGTCGGAGGCGTTTGCGTCTGCGTCCGCACTCTGCAGATGCTTGACTCGGGACCTTGGGCGTCTGCACCTTCCTGCTCGTGAGGGTGGCGGAGGAGCGAACGGGACGGGACATTGCGGAGGGTGCTTCCGTCGTCGTGCGGCGTGCGGCGATGACATAGCGTCTCTGGGGGCGTGCTGGTGCGCCTATCACGATGGTGTGCTTGTTCCTCGATCGCGGTACTGGTGCTGGTGTTGGGACCTTCGCGCCTCTTGCTTCGTCTTTCTTTCCTTCCCTCATCTTTTCGTGGAAAAAATTATTATTTAAACGAATACTGACTAACGAACCCAAAGGCTGACCTCGACCTGCTCGAACACGCCGAAGACTTACGGGACGGGGAACCATTCCCCTCACGGTATTTTGGGGTGCGTTCCCTTCCTCCTTTTTCCTTCATACTCTCTTTCTCACAGGGGGCATGCAGCGTGGCTTATTCCTAAATAAGCCAGCGTTGCTTATGGGCGGTTTGTGCGCGGTTTATACACGGCTCATACACGGTTGTCAGCCCGCTGATTTGGCCCGGGATCCGATATTAAAATTGATTGACAATCGGCCCAATGCCTGGGCCCACGGAACGCGGTCAGCTGATTGATTAATGTGCTCATTCCTAACAATTCCTGTGTATGAGGTGCAGAGAGAGGGAACTGTTGTTGTTAATCTAAGAATGATTTATATGCTCTATATGGCAGACAGTATTGTATTGTACCCCTCACGTAGCAATTATTTATCCTAATTCACGAGTTTGGAATGCGGCGTGGTGATTGTGTGACACCACATGTTTGTCACACCGTGTTCTCTTTGTTCCTTGACATCGATATTCTGCATTCAGTTCTTCATGGATTCTTCATCTACAGCTGGTCCTTCATCTGGCCGTACTGGCCCTTCTGATACCTCTGGCTCTGGCGATCCCCAGGCTGGGGGAAAGAGGACTGCAGATGACAGGGGCTCGCCGCTAGAGGATCGTCCTCAGGCAGCCAAGAAATCTCGAAAGGGCGGAAAGAAGAAACAGAAGCCAAAACAATTCCACCTGACAAAAGACCAGGTCCCAAAGGAATTTTTAGGCCTCAAGGTGCGCAAACCTTGTGTTTCTCCATTTTTCCTTTATCTGACTTGCGCACAACATAGAATTGCATTTTTCTTCATGGATATATCGCGTACATGATCACTCGATCAGATGTACCGCCTCCTCTGCCTGGGGCAGCTCTCATCACTGCGCACGAGCGTATTTTTGAGCCCAAATTTTTGGCAGCACTCGACGAACGACTGCGCACAACTTCCACGCGTCATGTTGGTGCCGGTGCCATGGTCAAAGCCTGAGGGACAAGGCTACTGCAGACCTGAGCTCTGGCAGCCAGATTGCAAAGCACATTCTCGACATCGGCGAACCCTTCCTCTTGACAATCTTTTCGGCTATACTCCATGCAGGCTTGGAGAAGTGGTGCCCTGATATTAATAGTCCTCCTGACACGCTCTATAACAGCGCCCACGAAATCGTTTTTGTTCAGACCTTTCACTCTGTGGCTATCGGACTTGGCTACAGATCTTTGTGTCCCACGCCGGCAGGCATTAACAACTTCGAAATGATCAAGGACCTCTATCACAGCTACGTTTTCGCCTACATGAAGGACAAGGCCAGGGTGGAAAGAGCTGAAGCAGGCAAGCTCGCACAGAACAAGGAGGACAACAATGCTTTCCGGCGCCTTAAACGTGTATGTCGTCCTCACTTTATTCCAGGCTTCGGTTCTCATAAATTCTACAGCTCAGTGAAAAGCATGTTGCAT